AGACACACAGAGACACACACACACACACACACACACACACACACACACACACACCCACACAGACACACACACTCACACACACACACATCTTTATGGTTATTGCCACTGAATTAAGTATAGTGTTCAATATTTTATGAAAATAAATAAATAAATATATTATTATATATATTTAATGTTTATTATAAATATATTTACAAATATATATTTTTTGAAAAATATAAATTATTATGAATTATTGAAAAATATATATTATATTAGCATTTTAATTTTATTAAAATATTTTCATTTTAATTTTTATTAAAATTGAAATATAGGCATTATAACAAATACTGTCTTGATGGAAAAATACTGTATATATATATTCCATTTTTTATTATTTTTATGAAGACACAAATATGGTAAAAATAGCATTTTATTTTATGTAGTATTTTTATTACAATTGAAATATAGTATAACAAATGGAAAACTATATATATATATATATGTATATATTCAGCAGTAATAAGATTAAAATGAAAGTTTAAGAAAAAATTATCAGGGAAAAATGTTAAAATATTGGTGTTCCTAAAAATATGCTTAGTTTTCTTAAAGCAACATATAATTGCCTGCATGTGTCTTTCTTTTGATTTAGTTGATTTGCAGGGGAAATCTGACCTGTACAAGTTTACTTGAACTGAATGAAAAGGTTTGTAAGTCAAATCAAACTATGTTTAAACATCTTTCTGTGAAATGTGATCACAGGACGGACTCGTGTGCATTCAGTCAGACGTTTTATCAAATCAAGAGGCTGCAACAATCATTACAACCTCAAAGAAAACAGAGGAGGAAAGAGAGTCAGACTCACTCAGGACGTAAAGCGAGAGTCTGATCGCCGCCAGACAGAAGCCTTCGAAGAAGCGCAGCGTGCTGAACATGGCCATATCCACAGAGAAGGCCACGGCCAAACCGAACACCAGCACAGACAGCACAGACACCAGCAGCACGGGGATCCGGCCCAACCTGAGACGCAAAACACTGTCAGAGAACCAGCACAACATCTCAGACGCGCGAGTGTGTCTCTGACGTACCAGTCTGCCATCGCTCCCATCAGCAGGTAGCCGAAGATAGAGCCCACCAGCAGAGAGAACTTAGCGATGTGAACCTTCCACTCGCCGTCACACACCAGCGTCCACTGCAACACAAACACAACAGACTCATAGAGAAATATCACGAGACGGCTCACATATACACCTATAATACACTATACACTAGTCAACATTTGAAGTGGATCCAAACCTTTCATCAAAGTTGTCCTAAATGTGTTCTTGTCTTTGATGACAACTTTGATGAACTTTTTCGATCCACTTCAAATGTTGACTAGTGTACAGCACCGTCATTCTCAAAATAATCAAAATAGAAGTCATACTGGAGGCCTGCATTTAACCTATACATGTTCATTACCATAAATCAGGCCAATTGCTAGTGTGGAACCTACAGTAAGTATGAAAAATATGGAATAACCTATAAAATAAAAAAAATAATATATATATATATATAGATATAGATATAGAGAGAGAGAGACATGTTTTGTGATATTATTTTTATGGGTATTTATCCCTATTATTATGATTGTGAAAAAAAAATCTAAATCGTAATGGTTAATAAAAATGCATTTATTGGAATTTTTAAATAATTAAACATGATGGTAGTATCTTTTATATTTTAAGCTGATTTAAAATCGTGTATTAGAGTATTTTATTGTAATAAAGTAAAAGCAATTAGTAAATAACAATTCAGAATAATGAGAATTAGAACATAGAGTGATATTTCACCCTATATATATATATATATATACAGTATATACATATATTCATAAAGATGTTTTGTGATAATATTTTCATGTCAATTAAGCACATTTCTCACCACTTAATATCATTTTCTCCTGAGGAAAAAAAACTAAATTTTTATTACTGCAGTGTGTAAAAATAAATGGATTTATTGAAAGTATAAAATATGTGGACATAATTGTAATATTTATTATTTTTGAATTCATGCTGATTTAAATTAACTTGTATTAGAGTAGTTTTTTATTGTAATACAGTACAAAAAAAATTTATATAAAGATTTTTGTTGTTGTTTTGAGATATTATTTTCATGTCAATTAAGTACATTTCTTACCTTCATAAAAAAATCAATTTTTATTGCTGCAGTGTGTAAAAATATATGCATTTATCGAAATGATAAAATATTAATACATAATGGTGGTATTTGTTACATTTTATGCTGATTTAAATTCTTGTATTAGAGTATTTTTATTGTACAGTAATAGCAGTTAGTGAATTACAATAATAATAATTAGAATTAGATTATTACAACAATGAAAATTTGATGGTGAAATGTTCTCATATACCATGAAAATAATGTCACAATGCAACAAATAGGCTTCGTTTTCTTAGTGCAAAATATAATTCATTTCTAATTTCTTTTCAGATGGAAAAAGAAAGAGAAACCCCATGCTCGGTAAGTATACAAGCACAAAAGAAACAGAGCCTAAAATACAAAATGCATTCAACAAAACTCCTGCATGACTCACTCCACAATGCCGTGTTTGCGGCATTGAAACGTGACAATTACAATGACAAATTTGATTAGAAATTGCACTGCTGAGTTCACAAAGACCAATAAACTTCACTAAAGCTAGAAGTGTACAGATATCCTCTCTCCTGCAGTGTTGTCACATCCTCAGATGGGCCAGAATGCTTCATTAGCATTTGTTTGCGGGGCCGGCGGCATGAATGAAGCTCTTTAACACACTCCGTGAAGACACTAGGCTATCGGTGTGAGAAAGGTCACACACTCACAGCAGGTCAGCAGGACATCAGGCGTCCGTCTATTCAGCCAAAGACTCCAAGAAAAACATCCAAACAGGAACTCTGTCCTGGAACGCACAGCATTATCTCAGACTCACAGATAAACTACTGAGTTTGGAGGAAAGCTTTTGCTTGTTGGGCCTGAAATCACGGAGGCTTGTTTCGCCACGGGATAAAAATATATATATATAATTGAGACTTTTTATCTCACAATTCTGAGGAAAGTCACGATTGGGAAAAAATAAACTCACAATTAAATTATATCTCTCAATTCTGAGTTTATACTAAGACATAATTTAGACATCAAAATTATGACAATAATTATAGTAAAGTTTACGTCTTTTGTCATAATTGACTTTTTGTCAAAATTATGATTTTAGTATGTCATAAATTTGCATTCTTATGTCATAATTTGTACTTTTTTCCTCATAATTTTGACTTGTGAGCGGAGTCTATCTGGTGGCTAAAAATGACAGATTTAAAGTAGCAGTCTACGGAAGCCATGGAATAAAAGCAGAAAAAGCTAATTTTGAGTTTATATTTAAAAATTCTGACTTTTTTCTCGCAATTCCGAGATTATATCTCACAATTCTGATAAGAAAAATCAGTTTATACGTTTATAATCCTACCTTCAGAATTGGCAAACTTGCAATTGTTGAGTTAAATTAAGTTATAATGTTCGAACTAGGCTATAAATGTGCATTTGTGAGAAAAAAAGTCAGAATTGTGAGATAAAAGGAAAATGTTATAGGTTTAAATAGTAGCTATTTCATGCTGTAACTGTAGGGCTAATACAAATATGACCCCTATGAACTGCATATGTGAATATTATGTAGACCTATTGTTTAAATCAAATTTATGCTTTAAAAGTAGGGTAATCATAGCAGGTTTCATCCATATCTGTCCGTTTAAACGTCTGCGTTTAGCTTCAAATGGCGTCTTTGATGACAGATACTACATTTTATGCCATAATTATGATGTGCCATAAAAAAATTTGGTTGTGCGATTTTGGCAGCTCAACCGCCCCAGTCCCCATTCACTTCCACTGTACAGAAAAGAGCAGCGTGAACATTCGGCTAAACCTCTATTGTTTTGTATTCCAGGGATACAAAGAAAGTCGTACGGGTTTGGAAGGACACGAGGGTGAGTAAATACGACACATACTGACCGATGACGGAATTTACATTTTTAGGTGAACTATTCCTTTAAATGGTAGCTTTCCATCCCCCGGAGGGAATCCTTTCCAAGGGCATCCATCAGAGCATCTTACCTTGGTGACCACATTCTGCTGCAGTCCCGACTGCAGCTCGAACCGCCACTCGGCGCAAACGCACGCCGTAACGTTGTACATCATTCGGGTTTAGTAAGCAATTGAAGCCATACTGGTTTACGTTATACTAATATATTTTATACTGTGGCATTGCGTATACTGTACATTACTTTGGCAAAATAGATAAATAATTATAAATCGATATGAAATATTGATTTTTAACATTTTTATTTGAAAAAAAAGAGTGCAGAGTGTCAAGGAACATTATATTATATTATTATATTTTGTATTATAAGCCCACTAAACATTATCTTGCCAGTTAAATAATTAAATAAATGGACATTACATCTTGATTTGAGTTTAAATTATTTTATTATGAGAACAGAAAGAGAGTGCCGAATATTGTTATATTATATTATATTATATTATAATGTGCATTATGTACAGTATATTGTACAATATCTTGCCAAATAAATAATTAAATAAACGGACATGAAATATTGATTTTATTATGTGAAAAAGGTCACATATAGTTGTATATTTCTATTATAGTTCTTGCGTCACTTAATTGTGAGAGTTTATCATGGACATAGTTATTCATTTCACTTGAAGATTCCAAAATGGGGACCAAATACTATAACGCTTCAGCTTTTAAAACACATTTTTGAAATGCATGTTAGTTCATGTTAAATGTATTGCACACTCTAGGGATGTTTTCCCTATTTTTTATGAAGTCATTGAAATATCTGCATGTTTTGGTTCATTCAGGCCCTGCACCATATGGCCTGGCACACATCGACAGCGCTCTCCAGAACAGACACGCCAAGTCCGTCTCACAAAGCTTCTCCTGGAAAAGTCTGCTGTCCTTGGCTCACTCTGCA